CAAAGACTGCAGTGATCAGCAGATACAGGAACAAACTGTTACTAAATTAAGTTTTCCATTTCTCAGAGGAAAAAAAAAATAGTGGAACGAAAACCTCTATAACATAGAAGTTGGCAGCTTCTCATTGTATAATAAAATATACCTGTCCTCATCTGATTTTACAAAATCTAATTTTTTCATGGAAAAAAGCATGCACTTTATTCTGTAATTTTGCCTGGTCTATTTACTTGGCAGTAACTGGACATACTTCTGTTTAAATCATTGTGTTTCTTCCCTTTCACTGTAACACAGTTCCTTGCAGCATACCTAATACATAAAGCATAAACTGGTTCAGAAAATCGAATACTGATAATCTTTTGATCCCATACATCTGGCTACAGATTTTACTTCAGGAAACCAGAAAATCCAAACCCTGAATCAACCACAAAGTTTTTGCCAACACTTACTGAAAGCTTAAAATCCTACAGGTCTGCCAGGAGTGCAGAAGCATGCACTGCCCTCCACCCTTTGCGTATTTGTTGGCACAGATCTGGGAGCTGACACACCTGGGAGCCCCACTGAAGAAGCAGAGGGCACACATCATCATCACCATCATACTAAGAAAATGAAAGACCAGTCTAGGCACTGATGTTGGTTGGACAAGCCTTTTGGATGACTGGGAGCTCTGGCTACTCGTATAGTACAGTATACTATGATATACTATACAAATATGCTTGTATAGTATCCAGGCTACTTGTATCAAGTTGTGAAAGCCGTACAAAACTGAGCAAGTGACGGGTTTTTTTGCTTCTGCAACTCATACTTTTCAACACATAGATGCTGAGTTGAGGTACAGTGTAATGTCTACCAGATGCTGGGATGCTGGGATTTGGGTCCTCCTGGCTCTGGATTACCTCCCTGTAGGAACAAAAGTTTTCTCACTATGGCTCACACCATTACATCTGAACTGTCATGGCAAAACCTGTTTAAGCCCAGATGTTTGCTCAGTCATAAACTGCTTATTAAGACAAAACTTTAGTTGTTGGAAGAAAGTAACTGAATTGCCTAATCTAATCAGATGTGGCAACGATAAAGCAATATAATAACTAGACCTGAGGCACAAAAATATCCCTTAGGCACACAAAGTCTAACTCAATGCAGTGGAAATCTGTTCTAACATTAATGGGGGTAGGAAAAAAATCCAGTGTTTGGACACAACAACTGCAATCTCAGATGTATGCAATACTCTGACACCAAGTAACAAATAGGAGCATTGCTTACAAAATTGTCTTTACTGCATTTTTGCTACACAATGAAGCATTCGTACATTAACTAACATTTGTCCTACTATTAGAAAAAACTTTTTACAGATCTTGCTTGAATATGTTGAAGCTCTTTTTTTTCCCTCTTACTCCTCTACACTGATTTAAAAGCAACTCTTGGTAGGGCACTCATGGATGTACTGGATGGTCCCTCTTATTACAGTGGTATATCCCAGCTGCCTCTTCCAATAACAACAAAATTCAACTATACAGATTTCCTCTCTGTTAAATCGACACCAAAATTCTTGGCACCAGCAAGACAATTGGTCCCTAAATGTTTGTATGATCTTTCTATCAGTCACAAGATGACAAAGGCTATTTCAAATACCCCAGAATCTGGGAATACATTTGCTTCCCTTAGACAGAAGGGACAGAAGGGCACTCAGTACAGACTCTGTGAGCCTTATCAATCTCACATTTACCTGTTTTCTTCCTGAAACTTTTACCTCAGGTACATGATAAATTAGGTTTTAAAATTACAGGTGCCAGTATTTTTCAGATTCAATTGTCTTTTTTCTCCCCCCCAACTCAGTGAGACACTAACTTTTAACTGATTTATTTGTAATACCAGCAACTTATTACTTTGCTGTTCTGTGACAGGGGTTTATGATTTGTTACAAAGATAAATAAACCAACTCCATCCAAGGTGCTCCAGTGGTAATAGTGGTCACCGTTCAGTATTTTGCAGGTGGTCAAAAAGAGCCATATTATTTTGACAGAGAATTTACAGTAATTTTACCAGAAAGCTAAAGCAAATGTTAATATTTAATTTGGATCATTCATGCACTAATATGAAAGGACATTAATTCTTGCAAAAATACATATATGAATAAACAGAAACTCATGACATACAAGCCAAGAGTGCAAATAAGGTATAGATGTCCTTCGGTGGAGTTTCATTGTCAAGGGGGAAATCCTCATCCTACAGACACACTACACAGTGTAACTAGAACCAGTCACCACTAGGCATAAAATGAAATGTCATTCATGGCACTCCAGAAAAATATGAATCAAATTTACCAATTTATCAATATCACTAATGCCAGAGAAAAAGAAAAATGAATAGCAGGTATACATCCTGTATGTATAGGAATATTGTTATGCATACATATCCAGAGTAGGTTAAACCTTTTTCCTTCAAACCAGTTATACTGTAAATTAATTATTGCAACAAGTCGTGGGATACCAGAACGCTGCAAGCATTGTCCAACAAGTTAAGGAAAAGTCACATTTTCGATTTCCAAGAGGAAGGGTGGTGACCTATAAAGTTGTAAAGGAAACCACTCACAGGGTCATTTCAATACCCTTGCTAAAAACAGCCCCCTGGAATTATAAGAGTCTCTTCCTCATCCTGCTCAGAACAATTGGAAAATTATAGATAATTTAAAATACGTTAACTTAATATACTAAAAAACAAAATAAATGGAGACAAAAAAAATAACAATTCTCACTCGTGGAATTGCATTGCTAATTTCTCAGATTTCTCTGATAGTGGCATTAGGATTTAGCTAGTGGAAAACTGCCCCAGATTGCATAACAGGTATATTTAAAATGTGGTGCAGATCCTGAGTGGTCTTTGTATCCCAAAGACTTTACTTTTTAGTTTATCCTGAAGTCATCAGGGACAGGCTTAACTTAAGCCAGAACAAATACTGATTGCTAGAAGCTTTAGGTGAACAACATCAGACTGGATTTGACATGAACTAGTGATTTTACTTTTTTTCCTATATGATCAGATCAAATCTAAAATAAATGCTACATAAATATTTTTTAAAATAGAGGACAAAGAAAAAATCAGGTTTATGTTGCCTACTGTGATTTCTTCTACAATATATTCATCACAAAGTTTTATGCAATACATGTACCACTACATTCCCTCTTAGCCCATGATGCAATTACAGGCACTGAACCCAGCAAGGTAGAACATGTTGTTAGTTTTTATAAAAAAACCACATTGTGTCACACAGCAGAACAGCAAACACTGCACCAGCAGACACTATAGAGCTACTTCCCCCTGCACTTCATCTCATCTCTGAGTAAACAAACAGCTGTGAACACTTGAAATACAATATAATGTGTGCCTTAACCTATCCATGACAAAGAAGCAGGACTTTTAAAATCGTCCCAACCACTGCCTTCACAATGTCTGGCTTTGTCCTCTGTGTTTCAGGACACTGATTTTTCATCAATGCACTTGTAGTGCCCGGGCAGGTGATAGGGAGCGGTGTGCATGGAACAAGGTTATTGGGCAAAAAGCTCTGCAGATATGCAGATACACAGATACATGAAGGCTCCTTCCAGATGGGATCAGCACAAATTTGACACGACGGTACTAGCTACAAAATTCTGCATTCTCAATCCAGGTGAGAGAGGAGGATTCATTTCCAGCTTCTTCTAGTGATTCTTTCTCTGGCATCTTATTTCTGCTTTGCAAAGGGCACAGGAATTTAGACTAATGAAACTAATTTACTAAGAAACTGACTGGTCATGGATCTCTTTCTCTTATTCCTCAGGTTTCTTTTGTCTTTTTTTTTAACACAGAAAATGAACTCATAGGTCCTAAAGCTCCGTGAAAACAGGCCTCATCTTAGTGACAGAAAACGCAATTATTTAAATTGCTTTTGGGATATTTTAACACTGGAAGTGTGAAAGTTAATGCCTGAAGCAACACAAACCTGAGGTAAACATCACATGACTTAGAAGTAACTCCACTATCTTTTGTCCACAGTGAACTGGGGAAGAGGCGAAATTGGGAAAAAGTTAAATTTATCCATAGAAATATAAGATTCTTCAAGTAATTTTTAAAAGCATCTATTAAAGATAGAACAGCACAGCTCCAAATCCACATAAAAAACAGTCAATATCTGGCAATTCAGAGCATACTGTTTTTAAAAAAACCACAGCAGAGCACTGCACTACCAGATAGAACTTGCAAACTTACCTACAAGTAAGGGTTAGGGTTACAAGTCTGGGACAAGTCCTTACACTCCTAACGCCTTCCTCTGAACTCACATACTGTTTGGTCCTATGTGGTTGCCACAAAAATGCTGTTTACTCATTGCAGCAGTTACTGAACTCCTGCACTTTTCTCACTGGTTCATAGTTCAAAGGTGGATGTCTCTGACAAACTGCTGCCCCGGCCTCGCGGCGTGCACCACACCAGGGCTCCCTGCCGTCACAGCGGCTGATTCTCTGGCTTTGGCAGGTGCTCTTAATCCCACCACGGTGTTCTACAGGTGACACTGACCTCGCTGATGGGAATGCACAGAGTTCACCAGCACTACCGTTAGTTGCAGATTGCCATTTGATACTCAATTTGCACATTACCTTACCAGAAGTGCCTCCCTTCTTCTGGACTTACGATCTAGTTTCGCAGGAGCCTTCCATCACTCCCGTCAGGAGCCTTCCATCACTCCCGGCTCAGTGATCGGCGGCATCCGGGGCCGGCTGGCACGGCCCGCCCCGCTGGACCGGGGCAGCACACGCCGGGAAGGGCTGTGCCACTCTGCGGGTCACAGGCAGGGGACCAGGGGACACGCTGCTCCGTTTCTGGCACTGGCAGCGACAAGTTACTTATCTAAGCACACCCCGGGCCGTTCTGGGCCACTCACTGCCCTTGCCCTGGCTCGCTCTCCCCGCGCAGGGTGGCACGGACGGGTGTCCCCCGGGCCCGCCGCTACCCGAATGTCCCCCCCGTACCTTTCTGAGGGCCGCCCGCAGGTCGCGGTGCTGCGGGGTGTCACCGCCGTCCCTTGGCCCCGAGCTGCGGCCGCGCAGGGCCGAGCCCAGGCGCGCCCAGCGCCCGCCGCCCCGCAGCGCCATGGCCGCCGCGCCCGGTCCCGCTCCAAAGGCAAGGCCGAGGGCCGCCAAAGCCTGTCCCGGTCCAAGAGCCAAGGGCGAGGGCAGCCACCGTGCCCGATCAGCTGCCCCGGGTCACCCCGGAAACCCCTGCCCCGCCCCGCGCCGTCCCGTCCCCTCCCTCCTCCCGCTCCTCTCTTCCCCGCAGCAAGCCACGGTAGCTCTCGGGTTACGGCAGGTTTTCTTTAATGCCAACGAACAGCCATGAAGCGACCGACAAGCGGGTGGCGAAAGGGCCCCGCGCAGCGACAGGAGCCGGCCCCGCCGGGGAGCAGGGCACAGCCGGCCCTGCTGAGCGGCCTGTGCGGGTCTCGGCAGCTTTCGGGTGGGTTTCTGTATTTTTGTAAGGAGAAATAGAAAATAACAAGAAATCCGCTCCTGTGCCTGTTCAACACGGACCGGTGGCGGTAGGGACACGCTAGTGACTCCGTAGGGGTATAGGAGCAATGTCTGCTCCGGGGGCAGGCGCAGGGGCCGTTCTTCTAAGCGATGACACAGCCTCCCTTCTCCTTGAAGGGATTCTTGTCCTCGGGAACCCCCTTCACCAGCGGGTCTTCGCCCGACCGCTCCTCGATGTAGTTCTTGATCTCTTCGGAGCACTTGGACACCTCGAGGGAAAGGACAGAGAAGAAGCTGCGTTATGACCGGAGCTAATGAACATCAGAGGAGGAAACCCGTGAATTCACAACTTCTCATTTACCTTCCCGCCAAGCATAAAACATCTGACCACAGAGCAAGCACTAAGCAGATGCAGACTCAGCTTCTTTCCTCTTTTTTCATAGTCTGATATTCACAGAACATGTGAGTATCTCTGGGAATGTATATGCCACTTGTAACAGCAGCTGCTGCGTACTTAAACTTGCATTTAAGTTTACATAAACTTAGTTATCCAACGTAGTTTTATTAAGCTGCAGATCACACTCTTCCTAAGCATTGGCATGACTTACGGTCAATGGTTTCAGGGTCAGTAACTTTCAATTCAGCTTTAAAGTATTCATGTCTTTACGTGTTTTTCCCAAACAAAACATTCAGCAGTGATTTTTCAGTGGTAATACAAATTCTTACTTTGTGGTTCTACTAGAGCAACGATGCATCTCGAGTGACAGTAAAGACCTGACTGGGAAAGACAATATACTTACAGGTTACCCGGGGTTATTTTGAACAATAGTTAATAGAATAGTCTATTTTGTTATGAGAGAACATAATACACATAACACTATGCGTGGCATTCATAGCAAACTAGCACTGATGTAGGTAAGCCTGCACAGAACCTGCCCGTGGAGAAGAAACGTGTTCAGTTTTTGTTCACTGAGACAAGAGAACATGCAGTGACAGTATCTGGGGAGCATGAGAGTGCACAAGCGAATCTCACGAGCTCCAGAGGTTCCTTATCCACAAACTCCTCTTGCTTCCTTTCCCTGTGTCAGCAGAAACTGTCCTTAGATGCTCGAATACCTGACATGCCTGAGGACACACTCTTGCTCTGTCCCCACCTCCTCCCTTCCTACCCACAGTCCCTGCAGTGGCACAGCTATGCAGCGTCAGCAGCAGGAACCAGCTGTTGGCCAGGCCACTAGATTATTAGTATTTCTAATTTAAGGCCTTTTACCTTCTTTGTTAATTACATTTTACTTCATAGGTAGAACTATAACAAGAGAACCAATGAATTTGCCTGCTCTATCACAGACAACAGAGCACGACCTGTGCAAAATTAAGCTTTAAGCCATCAGAAAGAATAGACTTAATTCCCAGTTAAACAGTGTATAAAATAAAATCTATCTGCCTTTGGACCTACAAATCCCATTGTATGTCTTACTCTTCTCTACCTTGCAAACCCTGTTCATTCAAATTGGGGCACCTTATCCCATAGTAAAGTTGTGCTCCAAAGTCTATGCAGGCCCAAGGTTTGTTTTACTTCAGTCAGCATTACCAGGATCATTCTCATTTATAAGAAAAAAAAGCCTGCTTAAATACACGTTCAAACATTTTTATTCATTCAAAAAATTATTCAAAAGGACACTTCCTTTTTGTGCTGTAAAGGTATAGGAAGGAGTCAAGAAAACTTTGGCTAAAGTTTTTACTTTTGGTAACAACAGAAGTGTGGCTTCTGCATTTCCCTGTCCCTGTACCAACCATACACGTACCAGGGGACTGTGGTGACTATAACACAGATTTCATTCTCACAGTGAAACTTCTGTTACAATGCACTGGTAAAACTGAGCATGCTGTCTGTGCTTTACTTCAGGTGAATCTAAAATATCCGTTTCCCTAAAGTGATCAGGCTTTTGGTTTATTTTGAAAATGTAGACAAGTATTATTAATAATAATAATTATTAATAATTAATATTATTATTAATAATAATGAATAATAATAATAACATAAAACCTTTAGCTCCTGCAGAGTAAATTTCAGTTGCTTGGGAACTCTCTGAGGGATGATATTGCTATCTATAGTAGTTCGATATCAAGTCCTCAACACTGCTGGAGCTTTAGACTATACCATAACACCTACAATCACCAATACCTAACTCACAGCTAAAATGTAACTCTGGCGTTCTTATTTTCTGGGCTAAACACCTAGACAGGTGATTAGTAACTAGTGTGACTAATGCCACTGATTCCCACATATAAATGTATTTTTAGTCCTAACTAGAAGTGTTTATTTAGGTGTAGTTTGCTTCTCTGGCATGCAGAATAAGAAAAAAAAAGAATATTAGCTTCACAGCAAGATCAGTTCTACATGTCTTTCATTTATAGAAAATGTAGAAAACCACAAACATTTAACTGGAAAGTACTTCACCTGTGGAAAGGAACAATCAGTATAAATGTCTAAAAGCACAACTTTTCTATGGGACAAAGCTTGGCGGGTCACGGCTCCGCACCGGCAGCCTTTTGGCTCCTGCCCTCCGCCCGGGAACTGCATAGCGCAGGAAGAGGGAAGCCGAGGCAGAGAGCGGTGCCGCGGCAGGGCTTCCCGCCGCACAGCACCCATCTCCTGGCACCGACAGGTCCCAGCGCGTTCTGTCTACAGAGGAGAGGAACACAGCGCGACGTGCTCCTCCCTCGCCTGGCAGGGCTGCCTTGTGCCGGCCTTGAGCTCCAGGGTCTCGCGGGGAGGGGAAGCCAAGGGGTGCCAAATGCACCGGGAACGGCCGCGGCCGGCGCGCCCATGCCAGCCTCTCGCGGCGCTTTCTCCCGCGGTGGTGCGCTCCTTTCCCCCCGCTCCACAGTCACCCCTGGGAAGGACCTACGCGGTGTTAGCGGTGCCGTGCCGACAACGCTGTCCCCGACCCCTGCTCCAAAGCGGGTGGCAGGAGCCGTCGGTGCAAACCATCCCAAAACATCCAGGGCTCTCCGGAGGAGCGGCTCTCACAGCCTCGCCGCCCCCGGCCCCGCCGCCCTTCCAGCGTGCCCCTGGCCGCCTCATGAGCCCCCGCACCTCCGTCCGGGGACGAACGGGCTGCTCCCCGCCCCAGCCCCGGCCCTGGCGTCCGCCCCGGCGGCAGGGCAGCTTCGAGTCCTTTCTCCGCGCCCGCTCACCGGCTGCCTCTCCAGCTTCACTTCTTTCCGGAGCTGCTCCACTTCCATTTTCAGTTTGTCCTTCTCGCTCAGGTCCTCGATGTTGATGGCTGGCATCGTCTACACTGTCAAAGCGCGCAGGGAGGGAGAGAGGGACAACAAAAGGTTACGTCTGGGCAGCGAGGGCGCCGGGCCGGAGCCCCCGGGCGGTGGCGGAGCGGTGGGACGGCCGCCCCCGGCCCGCCCCCGGGCTCACTCACACGCTGCCGTCCGAGTTGCCCCGCTGGTCGGCGGCGACCGCTTCCTCTCCGGCGCGCCCGCACCCGTTCTCCGTGCCGCTCCGGCCTTTAAACCTCCACGCTAATCCCCCCTAACCGGATTAGAGCCCGCCGTCCGGGCCGACTCCGCTGCCGGGGCGTTGACACGGGCCCTGCCTGCACAGGGAGGTCCGGCCGTCCCGGAGCGGCCCCGGGCAGTGCGTTCGGTCCCGCCGCCGCACCGGCGGCAGGAGCTGGGAGCTGGAGGACCCTGCTGTGCTGATCTCTCCGGCCTCTCCCTCTTCACCACTGCTGCGGAGAAAACGCAGCGAGGTCGGCTGGGGGATTTGGCCCAGCTGTGAAATCTTTCTCCCCGACACCTCCTTCTCCTCTTCCACCTTCTGACCATCGCAATGTCTCATGCTTCTCCATGCCACCAGCATCCTTTGGCTCTGTGTTACTCTGCCCAGCAGCTAGGGTAGAAGCAGGTGGTTTGCATGGGCACATTCCTTGATACTTGTGCATTACCATCACGGAGGGACTGGACTGAAAAGGTAGAGAGGGGAAGGAACCAACTCTGATGTTAATTTACCCATCAGGCAGCCAGCCCATCAATGCCAGACACAGCAACTTTTGTTGGTAGATGTGTCTGCAAAGCAGAATTGCAGCTCTGCATGAGACAGTTATTGTGTCTGGCTTGCATCAAGGGTCTCTGGAATCATGGAGTTAGGAGAAGTGTTGAGAGTGGAGTACTCCACATAAGAGAAGTGAGGGTTTCAGAAGACACAAGAAGAGCTAGGAAACTCTTCACCTGTGGTTGCATACAGCTTTGAGGTCTAGATACCAAATAGGGTGCTATGCTCTTTAGAACAGGGTTCCTGCCTATTTGTACAGCCCCTAGCATCACTCATCCTAGCAACTGCTTTCCTACAATACCACTGGAGGCAGAACTCAGGACCCTTCAGACAGATCATAGCTGCAGGCCATTAAAATGGGCTTGTAGGCCTTCTGTTATCTAGCAATTCAAAGGTCCATATAGGCAATCACCCTTCTCTCTTTCCAACTCTTTTTTTCCTATTAAATACACTCATTTCTCCTCCTCTCCCCACTCACCAGATGTAAGCAGCTGTCTGCAGTATGTAAGATTTACATCTTTCTTCTCCAGTGCTCTTCCTATAGTGCTCTTGGGGTCCGTATTCCTTTTATTTTAGCCAGTTCACTGA